AATATTAATATTTTTTAGTTTATTAGAAATAGTTCTATGGAGAAACTAATTGCTATTATGAAATACAAGTGGGTTTTATATACGTATATGTATTTATGTATATAATGAATATAGACCAGTTTATATTCAGAGAGCTTTAATACTAAGTAATCGAATCGAATAACTAGGTGAAGTTTATAATCTCAAAAGGTTTTTGTTTTACTTCACATTAAATGGCAGACCGTGGAACCCACATCCAAAGGGTATATAAAGCGAAACCGTTAGTGTTTTCTCTCTCTTTGGTTCTGTCGTTTGGCGCATGCGATTGCGACAGACTGCCCAGTGCGCACCCGCAGGCGCAACTGCGGCAACCCCCTCGCTCGCTCGATACGTTCACACGCTGACAATTGAAACAACAACAACAACAAAAGCAACAGCCTCAACTAGACTCGCATATATTTGCGTAGCTAGAGGCATTTGTCAACGGGCGGTGGCAGTTACAATTCGGATTCGAGTTCGAATTTGAAATCGATATCCAATCGCGTGTCGCATGGCCATAAACCAGATAAAACTCTCACAAATCAGGCTACTCCAGCAGCAGCAGCAGCAGCGGGATGCGGGCGTAAGGGGGCGTGTGAGCCAGCATGCATTGGCTTCTACAGTTGCTGTTGCTGAAACGGTCAAATGGCTGCAACTGACAGTGCCAAAAGGTCAATAACTCCCTTCCATCCTCCTCTCTATCTGTTTTTTTTTTTTTTTTTTTTTTTAGCTGCGGGTGAGCGTGCGCGCTTCTGCTTGCCATATTATGTGGGTCACGGGTCAATCATGTAATATAATCATTTAGAAGTATGTCTACATACATGCATACATATATACGCATATGTACATACAACTATTTTTGTGCTGTGCGACTGATTGATGCGCCAGACACAGCCCAAACGGAAGCTAATTGCTTTTCCCCGTTCTTGTTTTTTTCTGTCTATAATAAGTTATCGGTAATAAAACGTTTTTCTTTTCATTTAGTGTTGAATATATAAAATAAATTTTTACAAAAAGAAAATTATCAAATTTAACATTTTTCACTTAGTTTTAAGAAAACACTTTTTTTTTAAATTAATTTAATATTAAATCATAAACCATTCTTTTCCTTTCACTCAACATAATTAATATAATTAGTAGCATGTTCATTGTTATCGATTCATGGTATTCCCATAAAATGCTTCTTATGACCAAATCATGTATTTAATGTCTTTGCACATTGCAAAAGTAAATGCGTTTTGGCTAATTGACGTGTCCCGATGGCAGCTGCTCCTGGCTCTTCTCTTTGTAATGGCCTCTTGGCCATGTTTTCGCTGTGTGTATTGACCCAACTTAATAGACGAGCATGAAATCTAGTCACGAACTTAATCATGAACAACCGTGCACTAGATCCATGTTCGCCGACAAAATAGAGTCAGAGAAGAGCAAAAAAAAAAGAAATATCAGGCAGCAGCTGCAGCAGAGACCTCCCTCCTCTCTCTCTCTCTCTCTCCTTCTCACTTGGTCGCTCTCTTCATGCATTTGATCCATCCCAAGCCATCCTGCAAGCAATGATTATTGCTAGTGCACGACTTTCTGTGGCATTTGACTGGCGAGCCTCCTCCCGCTCCTCCTTAACATTCACCTTCTCCTGGGCCACTGGTCGGTGATTTTCCTAGTCTTATGGGCTTGGCTCGGATTTTCGGTCACTTTTCGGATATCACTTCGTTCAGTTTGCTCGTGCCTGGCAACACAATTTCAATTGGGGCTCGTTTTGATCGGTTTTCATAGCTCAATTGGCTGTCAGCCCTCTCCGATTCCCCCCTTCCCCTTACCCATGCCCACTTCTGTCGGGCGCTTGCTTTTTGATCCCAAGCGTATTGTATTTACATTTGCATTTGTATCTGTGTGTGTCTGCGATATGAATGAATCAAGCTCGAAGCTTCGAATTAAGGTTTATTATTTTGATACCCTATTTCACAAAGTAATTTTGAGTATATTGGCTATTGCCTAGGGATATACATTGAGCTTAGAAATGTAAACTGAGATATATTGTCTTCAGATAAAGGCGTCTTTAAAGCAATAAACATGTATATAGAAATATATCTAGTTTATTCATTGCTCTTATCTACATCTAAATTCAAAATTAAGTTAAATTTACTTCTATTTGTTTTTGGTAGAGTATTTTGCAGTCGTGTTTTAT